CCCCCCCACCCCGAAAGCCGCGTCCTTACCCTGGGTACTCATGTCTGGTGTGGGGATCCACACATACGCCATGCCGCACTCCTTGTACAGCAGCTCCATGGTGTCAGGACTGACTTCCCCGGCCGAGTGGCCCCGGCAGCCCTTGCAGTTGTTGACCACGTCCCACTCCGTCTGGAGGTTCAGCACCGCGGTGACGGATAGTTCATGCTTCATCTTCACCGTCACGTGCTCTAGTTGCCGGGGGCAACTGCCCAGCCAGAGCCGGGGAAGAATCCTGACGAGAGGAGGCACCAAACCAAACCATTTAATTAACCAGCCTATTCCAGTGAACAACACTGGTATTTACTGGCTGAGCCATCTCACATCCATCCATCCATCCATGCATTTTCTGTAACTGCCTATCCTACAGGCTACGGGTGCAAGGCAGGGAACAACCCAGGATGTGGCGCCAACCTAATGCAGGGCACACTCACACACCATTCACTCACACGTGCACTTGCACATACACGTGCAACTCATACATTCAAATAAATGCAGTTCTCATCCATGTTTCACTATGAGCATTTCTGGTATAAGTACTTCCATGTGGCACTGAAGCTTATTTTATTTATCTTACTTTTTCTCTAAAAAGATCAGCCCTTGAATTTGACCGGCGCGACGGCTTAGAGAAAGTACTTCGGGAGCAATTGTGGGCAGGAAGTACCAGGGGGCAGAGCTGTGTTATCTTGTCGTCAGTGTTAGGGGGGGTCAATTAACAACTAGCTATTGCACTGTCGCTTTGACAATTTTCCTCCAGGTGGGGGAGTGTTAATGTTGTCCTGCTCTACCGAGTCACTCTGGTCTGCCAGTATTCCATTATCTGCTGTTTGAATCAGAAGAAGAAGGATTTTGGGGGGGTTTAGGGAACAGGACGGCTTTCTGGGGTTAGTGTCGCCGCCGTGGAGAGCGGGGGTGCATACACACCGTCTGCCTTAAGTGGCTGCTTAAAAACGCAATGTTTAGATTTATGTTCCATCTACGGGTGCTGTAAAAACGGTTCAGCGGGCGAGACCAAACCTGTCATCTGGCCATATTCATGCGGAATTGAGTGCATCTTCCATTAATGAAAATTGGCCGTGGTTTCGGAGACCTGGAAGGGTACCCGGGATAATGCACGAGCCCGTCTTTTTGAGGCACTCCACTCAGTTGACTAAGAGTACCGACTTTCATTCATGCTTAGGGGCTGTAGCCCCACCGTTAATTATACAGAAGAAGGCCTTTGATTTGCCCACGGAACCAAATGATCAGAATGTTAAAAGTGTAGATGCTTCAGTGTGTAAACAGAAAAGCTCATTTTTGAGAATAACAGGACGTGGAGACTGAGACTTTGCACATTTGAATCCCAGCCACAAACTGCCCGCCCTCCCCCCTCCCCCCACCCTCACCAGGCCCGTGAACTGTGTTTTCACCACTGTCAGCGTGGCCTGCGAAGTTGCAGTGAGGAAACATCTGCTCCAGAACGGCCTCTTCCAGTTAATGCAGTGGTAGGAGCAGAATTGGAGGGTTAGGTGTGGAAGCCGTGGTTCTGAGAAACGTTTCCCCCGCCAGCCCCCGCCAACCCCCACCTCCCTGTAGAAAGCACGCCAACTAAATTAAGCTGCTCCTTCCATTTCCTCCATCTTCACCGAACGGGAACTTTATTATAGAGGCGACCGGTAACACAGTGTGCTAGCACTGCTGCTCGCTCATTATTGAAGCTTCCGGAAAAAATCTCCCTCACTTAAAAAAAAAAAAAATAATAATAATAAAAATGACACACACTGACAATGTGTGAGACCTATGCGTCTTATTAGGGGGGATGGAAAGTAGGCTAAATTGAGTGGTGTAGCAGAGAGGGGGGGGGCGTGAGGCAGGGGACGCGTGTTGTTTGGGGTTTCTGACGGCTGAGACGTCTTCAGCACCGCGCAGGGATCAGCCACGGAAATGCGAAGATGGATTTCTCTGTGGATGGGTTAAGTTAAATGCTTAAGTCACGGTTGTGGCTTTAGGTTGGCTTGGACTGTTGATTGAGAAGAAACCAAGACAGAAACCAAGACGTTCCCTGTATCCTACCCCAGCCGCTGTCATGAGAGAAGCTGCTTTTTTTGTTTGCTTTGTTTGGCAGGAAACCCACTCGGGAAATTGTACAAGTGAATTTAATAATGTTTTAAGGGCTTCTGCCCAAGGGAATCATTGTTCTGAAACGAAAATCTGGACAAAACTTTGGGTACATCATCAGTGAATCCTGGAGTTAATCGACATGCCACTGTTTGAAACAAAAAAATCGGTCTGTCCAAGACATGTGGACCTCATAATGGTTATTTAAGGATTCGTACTGTGCCTCCAGAGCTGATTTTCAGTGACGTCTTGTCATACTGTGATAAAGGCACTATTCCTGCCCTGCAGTTTGGCTGCTTCTTACGTGAACAAATGCTTGGAGTAAACAATCTGGAGAATGTGTGGGTGTGTAACTCATACTTTCTGTCCAGTAGACAGACTGTTTGTTAGGATGTACCTTATTTGGGGCAGAGAGGATGGGTATCATTTCAGGCAGAGACAGGATAGAGGAGGGAAGGAGCTCTGTCACAGGATGGTCTTTCTGTACATGCTGTGTCGGCTGCAAAAGCCACCACACACCAGCAGTTTAAAAGTCCATAAACCTGCTTTTGTATCCCGCTTCTGAAGTTTGTGTTACTTGGGCACTTTCCACCCCTTTTAAGGTGTGTTTTAGAAATGATTTGTTGGGCTCTTTATCGACTTGTGGCTGAGAGTATTTACGGGTAGGGAACTGGGGGACCTATTTTATCTTGGACCTATCTCAGGCCCTGGACAGATCTCCTGCCAACGTGTCTCCAGGGGTGCTGGTTGCCAGGACCCAATTTTATTTAGAAGATCAGTTGGAAAAGAGGTTGCCAGTCCTTCCAGGTCGATAAAAGTAAAAACAGTGTTTTAGTTAGTTTGCTTGTTTATCTGTCTCCAACCTCGCACAGGGATGAACATTCTGTTAATGAGAAATGTACGGGTCCAGTCTCAGCCTCGCCTCCGCTAGAACCGCTACCCGGGTTTCGAACCCGGAGCCGGGCTGCACGCGGAGTGGTGTCCATGCGCCTAGCCAAGCTGCCTTTCATGGGCCATCGAGAGCTTCCAGATAGCACAGCCCAGGCCTCGTCTTTTCCGTCCCCATTAAACAATAAAAGATCACAGTCATTTGCAGAAGGACAGACTAAATATTCATGACCTCCTGGAAGTTGCCGGAAATCAATTTGGGGTCTTAACACTTGTAATCTGCTGCCTCTTTTAATAGATTTGGCGAGCCGGTAGCAGAAGAGCGATCCTCCTGGAGGCCAAAGGACACTGCTCGATTGAGACACCTGTCCCCTAATGAAAGCCAAGGGTGTGACGTAGCCATGATGGAGCTGTCAGTGATTCTCAATTTTCAGGGCTGGGATAATCAGAGGGCCCCATTCAGACTTTTTCAAGTCTCTTTTTTTGGTGAAAGTATGGATATTTAACCACGTGAAGTGCAGCGGCATAATTATCCTCGGCAATAATTACGAGGACGATCTCTTAATTATTTTCTGTGTTTTCACACGGTTCTTGCGTCACGCTTCGTGTGTAATTACAGATCGGATATTCCGACGCAATGGAGGCAGCAGCGTTGTGATAAAAAGGATGTATCGTGAGCCGCATAAAACCACAGTAAACTGTCACACTAATGAGTCCTGCCAAGACTACTTGTTTCGGAAAGACCATTAAATTGCATGCCACTTTGCAGAAAGCTTACAGCCTTAGAGACCTTATTAATTTTGTTGCATTAAAAGTTGTGTACACAGCACTTTCATCGCAGAAGGGCAGACAGACAGTAAGTTCTGACTGCTGACATTACAATTGGAAAAAGTAATTCTGCAAAAATACCACAGAATCACAGAATATCCCTCAATTGTTTCCCATCAATTTAAATAGCTGCCTTTTAAAGTCTTGAATGGATTTATTTATATCCCAGTGCAGTTTCTCCAGCCAGATTAACAGCTTTATAAAATGCGCCGTGTGACTCTGAAAGAGCTCCAGATGTATTCTTCATGAATGCCGTGATGAGAATTTCACACCCAAAGCAACAAAAGGCGGCATGTGGGCAAACAGTTGGTTAATGGAGTGGACTTATGGACTGCTGGGTTAACAAGCAGTGCAGTTACCAGCACGTGATCCAACGAATCTGGGACACGGTTAGATTGTATCTGACATCAGATGGATATGGGTTCCAACCCCAGTCAAATGAAAGGCTTACACTCTATGTGATCCACTGCTCCGACTCAATCTCCTGTCTAAGGGCTCTGTTCATGTGTTACGGTCCTTTATGCCACAGTATCTGAGAGGCTAGTTTGCCCCCCCAAATACGGGGCATGCACTAAGGCACAAAATGCTTTCTTTTTTTTTCCTTTTTTTTTTAATCATGCGGCAGTTTCTAGAAAGGGGCAGCTGTAACATGGACACTTAATTCCTCCAATCAATACCTGTCCTTCCTTGTAGCCTTTGGAAAAGCAGCCAGATCGCTCGGCCCCTGCGTGCTGCCTGACAGCAGGGCAGAGTGTGTGAAGCAGGGGAGAAGGACGCTTTAAACCCCAATCTGCCATGCAGTCACCATACTCATCTGCTGCAGGACATCCAAGGTCCAAAGCAGCCACCAGTAACTGTCCCCATCTGCTCCCGGACATGCAGGAGTGAAAGAATCCTGTGGGTGAACCTGCATGTTTTTCCAGTTCAATTTTTTTAAGAAATCACAGCTCTAAGCCTGGACTTTTGTGTAGTATGACAGGATGGGTTGGTTTTTCATGGGGTGGGTCACGGACTGCCTGAGCGGCGAGCAGCACGGCTGCGGGACACAAGATGCCTTATGTGGTGTGATAAAGATGCAGATTTTACAACATTTTTAATTGCTTGGCTGGCAATTTTATCTACAGCAAGTTTTAACTAGATATGATTCCCCAGTCCTGGTTTGGTCCGTTGGTTTTACAGATGGGTCTCCCTTAACCACCATGCGGCTCACAGCCTGCCGAAGGCTTACCTGGAGAAGTGCATGGCGTGATGGCCAGCCACGCTGAAGTAGAAGTTCGTGGTGTGCTGCATCTCATCGGTGTGCCCGCTTGCCTCAATCCAGTGGCCGATGGGGTGGCAGTAAACCCCGTCCACCACGTTGCTGCCATCAAACACGCAGCAGCGGTCGTGATGGGGACCGTTGCCTAGAGACAGAAGTCAGAACCGCAGAATTAACTTTTCTGCTGTGTATAGCGATAACAAGAAATGTAAACTCTAATTAAAATACCAACAGGTCAGACAATAGTCACGAGAGTGAAAACAGTATCTTGATGGCGGGAATGGTACGTACTGTATATTATTAAAGCGAGGTGACGTGAGTGCAACAGCTGGCTGATATCTATCCTGGTTGCACCATTTTAACAAGATAAATACCTGGAACTCGCGAATGGCTTTTCTCCTAGTGCCAGTGTGACAGCTAAAGCCGTAGGCTGTCATAAAGGCAGGGAATTTCTAAACCAGGTCTGACTGGCTGACGTTTTTCATGGTTAAATAGCCAAGCTGTGTCTCAACACAAGACTCTTGGTAAGATAAAATGAGTTGTAAATTAGTTGCATTGTCTCTTCCGCGCATTAAAACACACGTTTGGATTTTTCTGTATATTGTTTTAGGACACTTGGATTAAAACAACGCCAAACAGCAAAGCAAAGCCAATTAGGGAATCAACTGACTTTGAACAAAATAAACAATGCAGATTGGTTTTGTAGTTATAGCGGGGACAACGTGCGTCAGTGCTTCTGTGATCAGGAAAAGAGGAGAGCGTGTATCTTAAACGTGCAGTTTTTGTGCGTGGTATGTTAACGCCAGTCATACAAAACAACATAATTTGCTGGATCTCGTGTTAACTTAATTTACTTCTCCCGGTAAACAGAGGAAACCAGGACTTCTTGTAGCTGTCCAGTTCCAGTTTGGTTGTTGAATTACAATAAACAAACAAGTAACGCGATTACTTACAAATGAACGGCTTTTGATTTTTCACAGGGGAAATGGTGTCTTTTTAATTTCTGGAGTATCTTGTGGTTTGATTGATTGAACCCAACAGAGCCAACAGGTGCAGAGCGACGCAGACATAAACAGCCCCCGAAATCGCGGCGCGGGTGGGTGATGCATGAATTACGGCTCTCTAACATGACAAGTGTTTGTCAAGGAAATCACAGAAAAGGTTAGTCATAAATCACCTAACGAGCACCGGGCTCTGGGGTAAAAGCACTGGTAGCCGTTTCATCATGTCCATACTACCAGAAATTGTTGGTACATTAACATACAGCTATGAAGTCCTGACAGGTCGCCAGGTTTCCAATTGAATGAAGGTGATTTTGTAGTATTTTTGCAGTATTATTACAGTTATAATGTCAGCAGTCAGAACTTACTCTCCCTATAGCTCGCCCTTGTTCAGGACCAAGGACAGCGCCCCTCATCGCATTTTGAAGGAGTTGACCACGCATAGACCTACTTAACGAGGCACCGTTTCGCCTCGTTTGTTGTGATATCCTACAGCAAAATAAAGCAACTTAAGAAACTTCAATTTCCTCTCTGAAGTTCTGACCAGTTCAGATTGTTACTTTTCCTAAATGTCCACCCACTCATAATGGGGATTATTAACGGAAGACACTCGTTAACTTTATAGGTTAATCCGTTTGTCACTTTTTATTTTTCCGATTTAATTTCGGTTCATGCATATATTTCATTTCTTTGAGATGCAAAAATTAAAAATCTGGTTATTTATAATCTTTCGTATGGATGGCCCAATCTATAATTCAAAGAATAAGTCGCGTAGACGCAGGTTTTAAAACAGAGCGCGCTATGCTTATTTGGGACAATGCTGCGAGATTATTCATGAATAGAATAATTAATAATAAATGCAATGAGAATAATCAGCTGCAGTGTTTGCTAAGAGACTGTCACCAAGTGAGATGAGTTTTTTTAAATAAATTGAACAGATGACTTGTTGATAAGATGTCGTGATGCACGTTTCGTAAAAGACAGCGTGTATTGTATACTACTTATTTGTATACCTTTTTTAACACGCATGTGTGCCGGTGATATTAAAGATTAAACTCTGATCGTGTGAGTATAATGAATATTTCGTACCGCGTCACTTTAATAACTCGCATTTGTAAAACTAACATTACGGCGTATTAGTTATTGGCTGTGTATTTTAATGTAATTTATCATGACCATGAATTGAACAGTGAAGCTCACGATCGGCAATGCTGTGTTGAGAAAGACTGTACTTTCTTGACGAGACCTTTGTGCTGTCAAATAATCAGTAAACATTTTATATATGACATTTTTACAATGGCATTTCCGCAAGGATAAGCAGAACGAATGGCTTGTAAAATGGAAAGCAAGTAGGCTAAACGCGTCGCTGTAATTCCAATGTAGGCCTATATACTGTATTACGAGCTGCATGTTAAATGGCACCATATGCCGCAGCAAAACCAATCGTTTGGTGATTCAGAGGTTATGTTTGTAATTGAAGGTAGTGCAGGATATGAGGGTGCGGGAGTGTGTGCAGAAGATAGGGATGAGGTAGGTCTGTGAACGAGTGAGACCACTGGATGTGTACGACTTAGCATGAGCCCGGTTTCAAGTGTTGGGAAAGTCTGTCTCCGAAGTACCACTTTCCAATTATGAAGATTTGTCGCCATCTAATTGTGAAAATGATGCACCCCTTCAATTCAAATCACAGTGTCTTTTACCTTTTTTAATGGAGCAACTGAACTTTCAACGTAACCGAACATATGTTATAGAGGTCGCAGTATTTTATTTTATTTTGTGTTTTCCAACATGTCATCTGAACTATATTGTTTTAAATTTCGAACACAAAAATAGCCTTACTTTAACCTTGAGCGACGCAATGTCACAATATATATTAAGTTAGTACTTAGTATACTTTTAATATATAGTATTTGAGTAGGCCTTTATTATATTTTTGGAAGTATAGATTACATAACAATAAAATATGTCAACACAAGTGACAAAACACATGATAAACAAAAATAACTTTGATTCGTATGGTGGCAGTGTGCAGTGGTACCTTCCCAGATGAGGTTTCCGCCCACCCGTTTAACAAACTTAAACCAGTGTTTGTCGGTGTACGGTTCCGCCAGCAGAACCTCGCCGGTCCACAGGCAAGGCTCGCAGGTCGATAGGACCTTCCTCGACGGCGTCATCGGAACCGCCCTCGCCGGATCCCAGTGCCCCATCTCCGGACGGGAGCCCAGTATCAGCATTTCCACGTCTTCAGATTCCGGGGTTAGAACCACGCCGAATCTGAACAGCAGCATCTTTCTTGTTTTCGTAATAGAGTATGATAGTAAACAAGGCAGTTAGCCTGCTGCCTCTCTGGTTCTATGTATGATCAAATTACAGTCAGCTGAAATACGTTCTTTCGGATGTAGCTCCGTAATAGACGAAATATGATTACTTGTATCTGCCAGTATCTTTGAATTCATTAGTTTGGATAACGCACCTATCTGGAACACACGCTCTTCCTTTTCTGTTTATTAATTAAACTGCGGGCAGACTTGGATAAATAGAGCAGCCAAGGTCGAAAGTAAGCACTACCGAAGCTGGGAGGGGACAATTTGTGCTAAGTTCGTGTTTGAATAAATTGAGAAATGTGACGAAGTTGTGATTTTGAACGAAGAATGATTTCAGTCCGAATTCCTTCAAAACGCGTGGGAAATTAGATTGCGCTTCAGTTCGATACTGAATCGATACCTTTGGAACAAAGTGTGATGCAATAAATTTGCAAATGGCACCATCTAGTGGCTCGGAAGAGCAACTTCGATTTAAATGTCTGTATTGCAGTCTGAACGTAGGTGGGCATTTAGGGAGGCATCCTGTCGAATAGCTATGCTTATTTGACACGTTTATATACCAGATTTGGAAAAAAAATAATTTTATGAAAATGAGTTACTAATTAGCTTAAAAACAGCACAACATTTTGTCTTGTTAGCTATCTTGTCAGCAGCCATATCAACTGCAGTTCAGACTAAGTAATCCTTCTGAAGGTAAGCAGGTTTGGGCCAGGCCAGTACTTGGATGGGAGACCAACTAGGAAAGCCAGGTTGCTGTTGGAAGAGGTGTTGGTGTGGCCAACAGTTCAGCCCATCCTGTGGTCTGTGTGGATGTCAATGCTCCAGTGCACTGATGGGAACACTCCACTGTTAAAATGGTGCTGCCCTTCAGATGAGATGTAAAACTGAGGTCCTGACTCTTTGAGGACATAAAAGACCCCTGAGCATCTTTCAAAAGAGTAGGGGTGGTACCATGATGTCCTGACTAAAATTGCCCACTGTAGCCCTATCAGATCTGGCCTTCTAATCATCCCCTTCATCACCTTAGCTTAGGTGAGCGTACTGGCACAGAATGGCTGCCGTTGAATCATCCTGGTGGGGGCTACACAGTGGTGGTGGTTGAAGTGGCTCTCCGTTGGTTCTGTAAAGCACTTTGGGTGTTTTGAAAAGTGCTATATAAATGCTACTTTCATTCATCTTCTGTAACTGCTTGTCCTATTGAAAGTCATGGGGGATCCGGTCCATATCCCAGGAGTTATGGGTGCAAGACAGGGAACAATCCAGGATGGGACACCAACCCACCGCAGGGCGCACACTCACACCTACTGGCAGTTTGGTAACTCAGATTAACCTCAGCATGTTTTTGGACTGTAGGGGGAAACCAGAGAACCCAAAGGAAACCCGATGACAACATGGGGAGAAAATGCAAACTCCACACATGGAGCCATGGCAGAGACTCGAACCCTGGTCCCAGCGGTATGAGGCAAGTGCTGACCATAGTCTTCTTTAGGCAAGACCCTTAAGGTGCATAATACAGTTATAGAGATCTTAAACTGCCTTGATTGCAAGCATCAGATGCAGCCGGACATTTTATCAAGGGTATGGCAGAAGGGCCGTTGTGAGTACATATACTGAAGTCACTTGTTGTTCGTCAAAGGCTGTACCAAGTATTTGAAACCACATAGAGCACCAGGATTAACAAAACACACAATTATGAGAGGTTGAATATGATTCTTTAATTCAACAGCAGTGAAATTCCATGCATCAATGCGAGACCACAAGAAGAAAGATGGGATAATTGTTCAATGTCTCTTTTTCTCTGTTACCACGGTGAGGGGAAGACTTTGAGCAAACAGAAATGTATCCATTTGCTACTAGCAGCCTTTGTTTTGAGTTATATCCTCCAATGCATTGGCCTGCAAGTGACGAATCTCTAGATGCCGTCACACACACGACACTCCTGTCTTTCAGGAGGCCCTCCTGTCACATCTGGGATCACCCCAAGTGGAGATCATGCCGGTCTTGGTTTAGCCAGCGTGCTGTTGTCTATGGTAACAAGGCACAAGTAGAGGACCCTGACTAAACTCCCATAAGACTTTGCTTTCTCATAACAAAGGTGTAATTTTGAGCGTACGAATTTCAGTTAGAATCTAAGTACCCTTCAATCATTTCATGATTTTCATCCCATTAGCACAGAATGCTGTTTGCTTGAAGTATGTATTGTGGATACAATTTGCATGTTGAGTTGTGTCAAAACCACTATTGCTGTATGAAACAATGAACAAAGCAACTTTAGAGTACATATCTCTAAATACACTACGGCCGTCCTTAGTGTCTGACAAATGTGCACTATAAAACTTAAAGTAAACGTTACAGTCAGTAAAGTGCTTGGTGATCTTTATAATAAATGTTTATTTATTGCTTAACACGCAAACCAGATGCACTAGAAAAAGATGAAACGCAAGATATAAAACAAAAACACGGGAGCAGACCGAGTTTGAGAACGTCCCATCCGATTTGTCCTGCGATGCTGGATTTTACAGAGAGAAAAGGCCAACGCAGACTTTAAAAAAATTCAAGCTTGAGACAACGTTCTGATTCATCTGTCCTCTGAGCCGTACACAAGGCGACACGCTGTGGCAGGCACGCGCCGGCGGAATTACACGCTCATCCACAAGCAGATTGTGATTTTTGGTTTGGTCAGACTTGGGAAAGACGAAAAATCCTCAAGCGTCCTGCTTCGGGAAAGTGCCCACGGTCCTCTGAACATCACTGGAGTGACCCAAAACAAGGGCACTTTTTAACAAAGCAAGCCATGCGAGATAATGACATGACACTGGTGTCGATCCTGGGGACAGGGACCAAGTGAGGGGGCTGCGGATTCCCCACTATGCCCAGAAAATCCAAGTGTTATTTCTTACATTAAGGCTCCTCCTTCTGACTTCATTGCTACACAGTACTGATTTTTTAATATAAAAAATAAATTTAACAGCAAAATATTTATTTACACAGTGATAGATTATTTAAAGTATGATACTGGCTTGAGGACGGAGCGAAGCGAGCGGCCCTCCTTGGTGAGCTCCCGGGTGAAGCACATGCAAGGCAGGGGGACGGCCTCCTCGCGCCGCTCCACCGTGTTGAAGCGGCACTCCTTCAGGTGGTCGGCCATGCTGGCGATGTCGGCGAACTTCCAGTCCTTCACGGTGCTGAAGGACGTGCTGAAGCGCCACACCTGGCAGGAGGCGGAAGTGCAGAAAGCGGCCGTTAGCGCACGAGCCCCGCTACGGCCCTCGTATGTCGTCTTACATGGGGACGCTGACGTATTCGGCACAGAAAATGATGTTTAAATGATCTTCATATCAAACCTCTCCTAAAATCACCCCAGTATTTGTAGTAACCAATACATCCGTGTAATTTTTTTGACTCGTCCACTAATCACCCTTGTTTGGCTAATCAATACCTCACTGAGTTATTTATTGAATTACGTTAAATTTTGCCTCCAGCTCCATTAATTAACAAATACATGGAATGGCTGGGTGCCCCAGAGCAGAGGTCTGGGACCTGAATCGCTGTTCCATCTGGCCATCCAGAAAGATATCAGTAACTTCTTGTGTTACTGTTAATTTAATGTTCTGATGTTCAATTGTGTTGTTTTTTTGCAAATATACATTTACTACCCAGATAAATAGCATTAAACATTTTTTGGCTGCTGACGATTTTTGCACAGTACTGTAGATCTTTTTTTAACGAAGGAAAATGGAAACTCCGACATGTAAGAGTAGGTTGAGCAGTTAGTGTCTCTAACCACGTGACCATGTGTATGATGTCACCCATTCCACAGTGCCCCACCTTGTCTTTGATCTGCCATGACGGGCACCCGGCATTGCCCAGCGGCCGCTTCTCCCAGAGCAGCACCACCATGCCGCGTGTCTGCAGCAGGCTGGCACAGAGGTCCCTCATCGTTCGTGACACCCGGGACAGCTGGCACAGGCCGAAGCCGTCCAGGAAGCTGGCGACGTGCTGCAGTACCTCGAAAGGCAGGCCGCTCAGCCGGTCGCCACCGTCTCCGGGCGCCGGCTCCACCCGAGGGACGGGGCTAGGCTGCACCCCGAAGGACCGCAAGTGCCGGTCGTGGACGATCTTGGATCCCTGCGTGGAGGGGCAGAACCGACGCTGGGAGAACGTGCAGCCGTAGTAGGCGAGCGGGCAGCGCCGCTCCATCCAGCCGTTTAGCCCTGCGTGGATATCCCCGTGGACGTTCTTGAAGTGGGAGGCGAACTCGTCCCTTTTGAAGAGCTGCCCGCACACAAAGGTAAACATGGAGCGCTGCTTGGTCTGGTCCCGCGCCACACACTCCAGAACCAAGTCGAGCCTCAGAGGGTGGAATGGACTGGGGTTGGTCAGCTGGGGATTGGCGTGGTCGCAGGCAGATGCCGACGCGATGTCTCCCACCATGGTGCTGGTTGCCAGTATGGCGGATGGAAAGGAGAAGGTCTGGGTGCCAATTTCCACGCTGTAGCCATCGGCGAATCTGCTATCACAGATACCCTGGCCTCCAGGAGAGTCTCCCTCCAGGTCAAACGTATCCACTGCTTTGTCCTCCAATTTGGCTTGAATTGGGAATGGGTCAGTGAACGTATCCCTTTGACCACTGAAGGCAAGCATGCCCATCCCTCTCAGTGCCTGGAGATTCTGCAGCTTTTGCCCAAACCACTTCTCCTCAAACTCCACTGCTGAGTGCTCCTCATTCTCATCACCAGGAAGTGGAATTGGCAGCGGAAGTGGCGGAGGTTGGGCTCTGGGGGGCTCCTGGGTTTCCATGGCTATAGAATCCTCCGGCACCTCTGACGTCCCATCGGGCCGTTCCGAATCCCGATACCTATTGGCATCTGTATATCCAAGCTCCCCTGCCCTTAATTCCATCTCATCCAGGTCCAGCTCATTCTGAGCACCACTGCTGTAGAAGCCATTGCACAGGGGCTCTTCCTTGTCCTTCATGATTATACCCTTCGTAATCTTCTCCTTCATGACTTCTAAGAGTTCAAACACTTCATTTTGCTCCATCCACATCTTCTCATCCCCCATGTCTTCGGGTGAGTGGTCCCTCCCCCCCACCGCCCCCACTGCCCCCACTGCCCCCACCTTACAGTCAAGCTCTTGGCCACCACTGTCCATCACCTTGACTTTCTCCACATGCAGTGCTTCATCTTCTGCTTCACCATGGAATTCCCCATTACTTTCAGCATCCCTGTCGGTTACAGCCCCACTCATCGGGCCCATGTCCTTGGTGGCACTGTTGAGGATACCCAAGGCAGCCACCAAACTTCTGCTGGTCTCCGCCGTGGCTTGGTAGAGTTTGCTATACGACTCCTCGTCCAGGCCGTTGATCCCGTTGGCGATTTTCTCCCTCGCCAGCCTCGATGCCAGCGGCACCTTCTCGCTCACGCTTGGCCGTTTCTCGGCAAGCCTCGACATCGCCAACACCACCTTGAGGGACTCTAAAAGCATCCGCTGGTCCTGCAGGGCCAGCGCCATGTCCAGCTGCTCCACCTCATCCACGTCTTTGCTCAGGCTCTCGTAAGACGTGCGGTCCGCGTAGCTGACGGGCCACCGATTCCACTCCATGGTGCAGCAGACCACGCTGGCCGGGCAGACCTCCAGGTGCTCGGCGATTTTGTTCCGCGCCACCGTGAAGGGGCAGCCGAAGCCGCTGTTCAGACATGGCACACGCTCCTGCGGGCACAGCAGCCGGTGCTCGCCCGCTTTGCACGTGTGGAACACGGCCCCGCAGACCAGTGCGCAGCCCATCAGCGCGCAGGCCTTGCCTGCCTCCGGCCTCACCATGCACCGCCTGCTCACGCAGCCCATGCAATGGACGTGCTGCGTCTCAATCTCGGGGGGCGGTGCCTCTGCAACGTGGAACCAACAGTCATCTTAAAAACCATAAACACAGAGGACGGAATGTATGATATCATGATGTTTTTAAATTTACCTTTTTCCTGTGCGACATCTGTCAATTCCATACTTGGATCCCTGAAACGTGGAAAGAAATGTAAAATGATTATTTTTAAAACAACTCTGCATTTTATTCATAATACACCGGCATTCCAAAATAACTAAGCCCTACAGCTATGCACCTGTCACACAAACCCACGTCCACCTTTGTAAATTCAATGTACCGAGAGAAAGTAATGGGGTGAGCAGGAGTACCATGTGAGTATGGAGGATGGAAAAAGAATGTTGACACTAAATCTGTCTGGTGGCCTATGGAAAATGTCAGACCCCTCAATCACCTCAATTGCTTGTTCTCCTTCCGCTTAGTGCGAGACAAAATGAAATGGCCCGATGCAATCGGAGACCAGTGACCTATCAGCAGGCAGTGGTCTAACAGGAGCGTGAAAGGACGAATCCAATTCAAAGGGCCTTCCTCTAGAGCAGGGTTTCCCAATCCGGTCCCCGGGGACCCACAGACGGTCCACGTTTTTGCTCCCTCTCAGCTCCCAGCATTTGAAAATAATACATTCCGTGTACTTAATACATCCATCCATCCAACCATTCATCCATCCATTTTCTGAAACCGCTTGTCCTATTCAGGGCTGCAGGCGGGTCTGGAGACTATCTCAGAGGCTACAGGCTACTTAATATATTATAAATATATTTTTATTTACATAAAAGGACAGGACATGCTGCTCCTCCCAAAACTTGAAGTAATACCGTGATATAATACCATCACCATCCAAAAAGTGAAAAATATTGTGATAATAATTTTAGGTCATATGGCCCCACCCATAGTCAAAATCTCCATATTGGTACATAACTAGTACTCTGTTTGCCCCTTTCAGCTGGACTGTTCTGAAATATATGAACAAATAAAACTGCAGTAGGTGGCATGGTGGCTCAGAATGTAACACTCCTCCCCAAGGTTTAGGGTTCAAATCCCACTTCCACTGTGTGTGTGGAGTTTGCATGACCTCCCTGCGTCGCATAGGTCCCAGTGCAAAGACGCTGTTAGGCAATATGGGATCTAGAAATTGTCAGTAACATAAATGTATGTGCGTTGTGATAAACTGGCACCCCCCAGGGTGCCCTGTGCTGCCTGGCATAGGTTCTCGGTTACTCTGTCCAGGACAAGCAATTGGAAGACAGAGGGAGACCCGGATCTGGTTTATTTCTGAAGTTATAGAATGATTTATACAGCTACAGACTATAATCTAATTGACTTCAACATAATAGCTATGCACAAATCCTGCATTCCAGAACTTTCCTTGGCAAAGCTCCTTGTTTTTAAAAAAAAAAATGTGACCACCCCCCACTTTAAGAAAATAAAATGCAGAAATTGTGTGTGTAAAGTACACTGGTAATGTGGCAAAAATCATGGTATCACTTGACAAATGTAAACGAAAAAAAACTAAGTTGTAAAAACATAAAGCATCTGGCTAGAAAAAATACCTGTTATCTGAGATAACTAGGGTAGATATCCAGAGAGAAGCCTGCAGTCAAATTTATTTTCGATACTGAATCTTTAAAATAATAGCAAATTCACAAGTCCACATATATAATTTAGCATTATATAATATCCATACTGGATTCAAAATTTACATCCAGTAGACTAAAATAGCAAGCTTGGATACGTTCATCACATTTTGACATCTGTCTGTTAACTCCAAAAATATCTTTATTAATAAGTTCAATAATATTCTTGTCAGAGCGCAACAGGTCAACTGTGTGGAGGCGCTCCAGTGCTGATGTTTCCAGCGGGGGGGAGGTTTACTTACACAAAAATTTTCTTAGAGCAGAAGGAAATAATGGTTGGTTCAGAGGGAGAATCAATCAGGCAAGATATCTGATTGGTTGGTCCCACCTCCTCTATAATCTGACTGATCATCTCTCTGAACCAATCATTTTTCCTTCTGCCCTCAGAACATTTTTGTGTCAATAAAACTCCCATGAGCGTGTTTCCAGACATCATCCACTTCTCTGTGTCCGGTTTCATGTAAGCCGTCACATCTGCACCACGTCACATTTTGCCATATTGGTCAAGGACCAGTACAGGGCGTTGATGCATGGATCTGCCCAAGAATACAGCACACCCACCAATACCAGTTACCGCTTACTGGCAGGTGGAAACATTAACTGTATCGATACCGACACTCATCACTCATGCAAGCAGACGGACAGTGATCCGCCGCACAGCTCCAGGTGAGGAGCTCCGGTACAGTTAAATACAGCATAAATTATTCACAGTTATGGTCCATTTTATTCAGGGCATCTGCACCCTTCACTGTTAAACCCAAAGCTGCCTGTAGCACAAGTCATTGTGGCTTTACTGTCCCTACTTTCTGACATCACACCCGCTGGTAGCCGTAAGTTTCGTTTTTCCAACTTGTTGAAGTTTTACACGCAGGAGTAAGCTACACATATAATCCAGGAGTGCACCTTAAACCCCTTGGCGGTGTCGCGGAGGAGCCCGCGGGCCATCCAGCGACACGGCCAGCGGGCTGCCAGCGGACAAAGAACGCGGAACTCGATCGATCGGACCGGCTCTCGCCCGACGCGTCGACTCGAGCGGACCTCCGGGTTGACAAAAGCTGTGACAAAGCAGCATCCCCAGCCCGTGGACGCTGTTAGGGGGATGGCTGCACCCATCCGAGGGGCTGGCTGAACTTTCTGCGGTCTTATAAACAACCGGAGTGCTGCGAATGCTGCTTACCGTGGCAATGCAATTAACTGGATTTCCCCGGTCGCTCGATGCGATCGCTCGCCTTGCGTACGTCCCCGTGTAGCTCCTCACGTTTATCTGGCAGCTTTGACACTTTTACCGTGTCTACCTTAGCGCAGCTCTACGCTCGGGGTCCCTGTAATCTCGCTGTTACATCCCCCCTGTCTGTAGCCTTTTTTTTTTTTTTTTTTCCCTGAGACGCCGCTCTATGACGTCACCACGTAGCGGTCGAAGTTCGGCGAGAGAGGAGATAGATTTAAAGGGGCAGCGCTTTCCTTTGACGCAACGCGGGCCGCTATCGCTCCTGGGAATGTGTAGCCGTCAGTCTGAATCCTGGAGGCGATGGCAGTGCCTAGGGTCTGGAGCAGTGAACGGGAACCTCATTTACAGGCAGGCCAATCGGGATAAGTGGGAGGTAATGGAAAACAATAAATGAAAGCAGGGCTTTAGCCTCCCCTCCCCAAAAAAGAAAAAGTTCTTTAAACCCTCCAAATAAATGCACACTAGTTTAAACAGTGTGTTCTCATCCATTTTCATTGAAATAAGACCCCCTACTAAAGACTAACCCCCCTGATATAAATCTCTAGTGATGTTCCTGAAATGAAAAATGAAAACCGAATTTACTCAAGGGATACATCCCACATTTGTGGTATTTTAATCTTATGACGATAAATGTGTAATTTACCAGGCGTTCCTTTAGGGTCCAGGAGAAAGAATGTTCCATCGATGTCTCAGTTTCACTGAGATTTATAATTCTTAAAAGTATGATATTCAAAAGGCCCCATGTTCTGCAGAGCATCCAAGTCCTCCTCTATTGTGCTTAAGGCACAAATGCAGCTGAAGTTCTTTTGGAGTCCCTCGGATTCTGTTAGCAAAATACGGCATAATGTGTGGTAATTCCCACCTCACATTGTGCTAACAAATTTTCTATCTAGCGCAGTATATTGTACCCTTTGCATAAACACAAACACCATCTGAAGAAACTAGCTGGTTGTCCATCTGGCCAATGCACCAATGTGTCTCTAAAGTAAAATATCAGTCTCTTCTTGCTGGAGAAACCGTGAGCCAACTGGGCCCACATACTGTAGTAGAAATTGGCATAGAAACAATATTTCTAGCTTGGCAAGGCTGCTCTGACTTGGGTCCACTACCCGCCCCCATCCAAACCCCAGTTTTCTTCCAACCGGCGACGGAGAACATCTCTGTTTTGTGCTCTTGGTTTCTGTAACTACATTCAGGGTACATTTGCATTCTCTGGAGATCTAGCGCGTCGCTAAATCACTGCTGAAGTGTTAGGTGTCGAGGGCGCGCGCAGTTGAAATGTGTTTTGTCCCAACTGCATGGTCATGTGACAAAGTCTATAAAGGAGTCGTGCCATTGATATGCTGCAAAGCTCCCTGACTGGCAGCAGTTGGTGCACCTAGATGGTCACATTAAAAGGGCCTTTTGATGCTTGCCTTTACCTCACCTTTCTCAACTTTGGTTACATCGTGTGCAATAATTGTTTTCTTTACTCATTTTAGCTATAATTTCACTCAGAAATGATGTGCCACAGCTGCATATTCATTCCTGCCGTCCGAATAAGGTCTATGTGTGTTTGAAGGTGACAGTCTCATTTTTCCACTTCTTAAGTGTGTGCAAATCAAGGATTTCTGAGAACAGCCGTCCTTTTATCTCCATGGATGAAAGTGTACCCCGCATTGTTGATTGTAGGTCAGGGACAGCATGAACCAGCCAGGTGTCTATAAGGAAAACCAATTAGAAACCAGGTTATTAATGCCAAAGAGCAGGCATTGCTTAGCAACAGGCTTCCTCAATGATGCAATATTTCTGCCCAGTCAACAGATGCATGCAGTTAAACAAGAATTACCACACGACAGTGACTTTGGTTTGACTTGAAGGCCATCCTGTCCCAGGACGAATAGAGCTCAAGGCAGCTTCAGGATACGCTCCAGGAGTAATTGGTTAGAAGATAGATGAACGGTCTACTAATTCCTCAAGTCTTCTATTAACTTCTGTTAATTGGATGCTGACTGGAAGTTTTAAGCTCTCTGTTACCACGAAAAGACAACAGAAAAAGACAAGGAAAACGCTTTATATTTTTTGGTAACACTTTAATATAATGTATTAGGAATGCTATTTACACACATGCACACATGACTAACTCCTTTGGAAATCAGAATCTTTATCCGCAGAATTGATATTCACACAAGCAGGATGCTGAATAGAGTTCGTTCAAATAGCTGAAAAAGATGGCCTTTGTGTTCCACTTTCACACAGTTTAGGGGGCAGACTGAATAAGCATTCAGATCTATGGTTCATTGAAAGAAAAGCAAATGAGAGAAGGTGGTGCCAATAGACGCCTTCAAATGCAGTTGCCATTTATCAATGGAGGTTGATTATACCAGGCTGGAGTTATTAGGACTTAGGGTTTATTAGGGGTTTGTCTGGTGGCGGTTGTGTTTACTTGTCTAATCCTGGCTGATTGAAATGGAAGGTCAGTGACAAAGCCGTGAACTAAAGCGTTACACTTGTGGGTGTTTAGATGTGCTGTGAACAGAAGACAGAAGTGATGCTGAATCCAGACAAAGGCTTTAATTAGATCAACCTCCTGTAAACCTCCTGTACACCTCGGGCAGTTTTCCGCCGCCCTGTCCCCATTGCTGCCTCCAGACTGTTACCGGGGAAACCGAGTGATGCTTCTCTGTTTTTCTCAAAGGCGCTCTGCACTGACTAATGAGGGGAGAGGAGGCACTGCGTCCACAACTCGCCAGGAATGTTTACGCAGCGACAAACTGGGGAGTCAAAAAAAAATGGTTTTGCAAACATTTGATCACTGTCGCTTTTCTTCTTCACCCAGACATTTTGCCTGTTAAACGTATTCCTGAAACAGAAGACTAATGGGCCAATAAATCGCAAATATAATAATTTGTGACCTTGGTACGGTGACAACTGAAAATGGAAAATAAATCCAGAAAGTTGCTGCCTTTTTTATGTAAATGATTCTGTAGTTAATGTCTGCTGTGTAAAAACTCTTCCTTCAGCTGGTGATCATGTGACCTGTCGTCTGGGAGGTCCAATAGCGGAGTTTTGGCAACGCATAGCAATTTTTTATGCTATTGGCTTCATCGTGGGGTCCATCCTCTCCCTGCAGGACATGCAAAGAATTGTCTCTGAAAACAGTAACAACCCTAATCCACAAAGATCTCTGTTCATCTTATTTACAGAGGAGCCACATCCGCTTCCTGATCCAGAAGATACGTTTTTTTCAAATTCATTTTCTTCACTAAAATTGAACTGTGAGCCTGATGGCTTAATCACTGCTAGTGAAAACAAAAAAAAACCCCTCAATGTGGAACCTGCAGGCATGGATGGAGTTCAGAGCGGCAGCCTGGGCCGCAGGTCAGAATTCTGATTGTCTGCCCCCTGCTGGTGTTAGATGGAGCAGCAAGTCCTTGAGTGCCTGGACTGTTGCTTGGCAATACATTATCATATATATATAATAAATGATAAATGATGATGAAGATTCTAATTCTGTGTGAATGGTTGTGATGTTGTTGTGGCTCTTCGTAGGATCATTACTCACCTTCAGCTTGCTTCCTTTCAAGGTTAGGACACTTCTGCTCCAGTAGATCAGGAAAGTACATTAAGAAGGCCTGTCTGAAGACCAGTGCCTTTACAGCAGAGGGCCAAGGCTGTAGCTCTTTGTTTTTATCTACAAAAGCACCAGCATGCTTGGTAAATAACTGCTTGTACTGGATGAAACCAAATGGAAAAAAACAAGTCATTAAGATTTCTGTCTCCTAATGAAGCTGCTTGGTACTGCATCCTGGCCACTCATGCTGGGCACTGGGCCCCGATCATGACTATGGGCACAATTGTCTTTGGTTTTATCCCTCTCCACTTGTCCGTCCCCCCCCCCCAATTTGGTTTTGTCCCTCTCCACCCACCACCCCCCACCCCTCCATTCCTGCCTGCCACCCGTCTCTCAGTTCAAGAGGGTTTTATTCCCCCCCCGCACCCCCCATGTCTGATCCATCAGCCAGCCTAATCGCTATTCAGCCTCAGGGTTAATAGTTGGTTGCAGTCGTGTCGTGTTTAGCTTGCTTCTCAAGCCAACTGCCATGCAGGGCAGGGAGTTATTAGCAAGTGATTTCTGACTGGCTGCAGGGAAGGAAGTGAAATGAGCCGTTCAGGGGAATGGATACTTCAAGTACATGAATCTCACTCATAATTTTTTTTAAGCTGCTTGCTCAGGAGGGTGCATGATCTGTACCAAAGAGCTGGATGAGATTGGGCACACAAAGCCGTAAGTTAGCCATAAGTTAGCCGTAAGTTAGCCATAAGTTAGCTGTAAGTTAGCCGTATGTTAGCCATAAGTTAGCTGTAATTTAACCATAAGTTAGCTGTAAGTTACCCATAAGTTAGCCGTGAGTTAGCCATAAGTTAGCTGTAAGTTAGTATCAGGCAGAGCCAGGGGCTCCAGAGGATCCAATGAGGTCTTTTAAATCGTGATACAGAAAAGTGAGAGACAGCATTTTTCCCCACCACCTGGCCTGAGGCTAAATGTAAATCTCTAAAGAATGGACACTTAACCTGAGTGGGAGGGCTGGCCAGCTGGCATGTTGTCGATATAGGATACGCTTTTTTGGAAATGCCTGTTAAACCACATTCAGCCACCAGGGGGAGTTAAAATACAGCTTCTGCACGGAAGTGTGGATATTCATTCATTTAGTCATATAGCTTAACCCTGCTATATGCTGCCACTCCTAGTCAACTATGTGTGGCGCCATTCTTCAGATATGCCATGATTTGCCTTTTTAAGACACATGGAACCTGCTTGGTTCTGCTTTAACATACTCAGGTATTATGCATGTATTTGACATGTGTGATTTTGATTAACTAGCAAAATGCATCGTAAAAGCCATCCAAAAAAACAGCTTGGACTTGTTTCTCCCGACCATTGTGGATTAACCTCACACAGAACAGCATCTTTCTGAAGATAGTATGGGGGGGGGGTCTGATAGCAGTCGTGGTCTGATTTTCGTGCATTGGTCCAGCAGTCAACCACTGGCAATCTGTTGAATAAACTCCCTTTACTTTTTTTACTAGACGGCCCCTGCCTGTTATTCCGATCAGTATATTTATCCTGAACCTCACTGGCGAAAGGACCAGCTGTGCATGAACCATACAAACGGCAGCCCCTGCAAGCTGCTGCCCCGGTTGTGGGAGTCCTCACGGACGGCAAGGAAGGGTAATCGCCATGTCAATTAGTGACACTGGGAGCCCGGGAAGCTGTAAGTGGAGGATCTCCAGGGGCTGGAGGGACAGAGCGTGCCTGGGGTGTGTGGTGTGGGTGTGGCCCATACTGGGACCCACCCTTCACTTTTTTAGGGCTTGAAACCAACACGCATCACACTGACCCAGGTGTCCCTTGGAGAGACCTTTACAGAAATGTTACTCTCCACCCCTCCCCCAACCTGGGGGCAATGCAGGACATGGGCCCCTCAGGAGATATCACTGTCCACAGAGCCGGCCCTGTCCTTTGGACCCGTCGTGGCTGGTTTGGATCAGTGTCAGAGCCGGGCCCTGGAGGGACTGGCAGTCACAGGCACTGGCATCCCAGTGCTGTCTCAATGTGGTTTTAGGCTCCGCATCTGATTCGCATCACAGGATGTGTCATAAGCAGCAGGATGCCGACGGGGCCCCAGGACCAGATTGGACTCGATTCCTGTCCGCCTTCCCCTCACCGGGACCTCAGTGAGCTGCATAAACTCCTTTCCATCCAACTGTGACCTCTCTCCTTTGGTTAAAAGTGACAGAAACAAAACTAAACAGCAAAAAAATAGTAGCATAAGAAATGGCTGCATTTTTCCTTGTAAAATGTTCATATGAATTCTGGGCACGGTCCTGCATTAATCCACAAAGATCAGATTCCTCCTGGAGTGACCCGCCAAAGCTTCATCAGGGGCTGGCCCTGGCGGAGGTTTCTGCCAGGTCTATGTACCAACAATGTCATGGTACTTGGACTGCAGAGCTCTCAGTGTCACATGACTGCATCAGTGCAGAATTTAGCTTCCTGATATATCTCTGGCCATCACAAGCAACATGACGCCTAGCAGCTGACTGTCCTCTGCCTGGCCATCTCTGCTTCGCGATCTCTTTGGTTTTTCAAACTCCCTACATTATAAACATAATAGTTATGCTTAAATTGTTAGTCTGGAGGACATCATCTCAAAAGGAAAAGTAAAAACCCAGAAAAAGGTTGAGTACAGAAATTCCTCAGCCTTTTGTGTGATGTGAAAATTGCTGTGCACTGTACACTCAGACTTAAAACAGGCTTATATCACAGCTGTACGCCAGCCTTCAGCCATCAAGGTCAGATTTTCTGCTTGGACTCGGCAGCGACTGAGTGACAGTTACCACGGAGACGGCGCTCGCCATCGCCGTAAATACCATGTTCTGGTCCTGCCCTCTTTCAGCCCTCCCACTGCTGCACCTTTTATTGGCGGGACGAGGGATCGCCGGGGGAAAATGGAGCAGCTTCCCGTCAGAGGAGCAGCACGGTGAGATCCATGATGAGCTTCGGACGCTGCAGTCCATCGCCCCCTCCCCCCGGAGTCGGAGCGCAGCTTTAATGCACTCCATCGCAGGCTGCAAAACAAACTATTTTAGTCACAGAAAGACTGTGAATTAAAATGTCTTCTCCTTGGCTCAGAGTCCTACTTAACGACCACAATTACGAAAGCATTGTCGCTGATGGTATAATGAGGGCTAGTGACTTCCAAACATCAGCCACACTCTGCGGGGGACCTGAAGGTAACTCAAGGTCATCATCATCACTTGAACACCAACCTTTGTATCCCCCCCCCCCCTGTGAAATACACTCAGGCCACATACATTATCCTGCTAATCTTCTTTTCTCTTTTCCCTGTCTCTGGCTTAAATTACTGCCAAATCAGCCGTTAAAATCACCAGGCGTACCTCCACCTACTCGCTGACGCTACGCCTCTGTCGCCTCTCTCTGTCGGCTGGCTGCCAGCATCACCTGTTTTTATGCGCCGTAGACATTCCTATCCTGCCATTTCCTGTGGCTACACGGCTCCTGCACCGCTAATGCGGTTTGCTCGGCAGATTCCCCCTCTGGCCATGCGGGGCAGCGTAGCACAGGCCGTGGTCTCAGAAATCGGATGGGCAGCCTTAATTCTGGACATTAAGTATCAGATTGCTGCCGCCGGCTGCCTGGAGCCTATGGCGGGGCTCTTCACTCAGGCTCTTGAGATCCCTCTATCACTTCACGGGATTGTTGTGCAGTTACATCAGGATCGGGCTTCCGAGAAAGAGCCTAATACAGTTTTTATGAATAATTTCTTACTTAAGAGATACTTTTTTCCCAAACCAAACTGAAACTTGTCATTTTTCTTTTTTACATAGTCATAAATTTTCCCCCCTTGTGACCCTGATTCAAATAATTCAATGGCAAGATGCATGGATGGATGGATGGATGAATGACGAATGGATGGATTTTTATTTCTCATATGCTTTTCTTTTTACATATATATATATATGCAGACAGTAATTCAGTTAACCATAAAGCCAGAAATGCATGCTGGGTAACATGCTAATATTCTAACCCATGGATCATGGATGTAGCTCAAGCCATTCCATACCATGTGACTGGAGGTCACACCTCCAACCCCTTGCTGCGTGTGTGTGTGTGTGTGTGTGTATGTGTGTGTGTTAGAGGCTATGATGGGCTGACATGCGAGGCGGTTGCCACGGAGCCTTTGCCTTTCGCAGGGTGTTAAATATAACCAGCACCAGAGGGTGGTGTCGATCCATCTTAAAATAATATTTTCCCTCTCGGTGACTTAGAGGCTAAACATTAGCGATGGAGATGCTGCCTGTTGTGTCTTTAGAGCATTTATTCCACTGCGATGTGCTTTGATTTCGAGGGAACGTGTTTAACTTCTCAAAGTATGTTTTCATTTTAATGTTTTTTGTTGAGCTTATCGTAAGAACTGTATGTACATTTATCCTTGTCTAGATCTAGACTCTATTATCTATGTCCATGATCTGACATCCAGATCTATATGTAAGGAAGATGATAAGTTGTATCCTGTATATAAGTTGTATATATCTATCCTGTGTTCCTTCCTCTGTTTTCAGATTAGAAGTGTGAATGTCATTTATTCTCATGCACCGCTGTGCTGACGACTGGTGAGCTTTCACAAACACATTTGCGTGGCCTGAAATTCATTTGGGCCGTCATCTGACCACCGGCACACATTTATCACAGTTGGGCTTGAGATCTTCAGGAATATTAAACACCAAGGGAGGGACGGAGGTAGCGGCAGACAGGGGATCGAAACACCATGACCGGGAATTACCTAAGTGCATCTCTGGACACTGACTGAGATGGATGAGACTGCATAAAACACTGATATTTTGCCAGGTTCCACCGCTCCTGTCACCCCCCACTGGCCTCGGGTAAGTGTTTATGCAGAAGGCTGTATTTATCCCAGACGGGGGCGATCATGGGCGGCCATATTGAGGGGTTGAAAAGGCAGTGGGGGGGGGGGGGGACTGGATACCATCGGCCGCAGCTGGTCTGCTCTCCGAGCGCTCGGAGCGAAACGACGTCGGAAGTGTGACGTCCGGGCGAGATGCGGAGGCGTGATGTCTGTCTGCAGAAGGATGGGTGAAACTCCACCGTGCTCCATCCAAAAGGCATAAATCGGTGTTTAATCCCATTATTTAAGCACCTATCTCACTACACCTTTCCTTAAATGACTTATAGTGTCATATCGTATGTGTTATGTAATTCGGTTTATTGCTGGGGCAGTTAGGCATGTTTTGAGATCAGCATGAAGCCCCCCCTCCCTCCCCCCAGCAAACATTTCATTAGATTTCACGAGTTTGTTCTTCATTCTGCATGCTGTTGTTTTTGTTGCCTTGGTGTGCTGTGCACGGTGCGGCTGTCCAACATTTCTTGCGGCTACAACAGGGACGGCCATCTCAGCTCATTGTTTTTAAAGTGACAGTTGCCATTTTCCGAGGGCCTCGGTGATGGTGCAGGTATGGAGGTGAACATCCAGCAAGGTCAGCGTGCCTGAAGCCCCACCCGCACGTCCCGAACGTGACACGTGGACGTGCCGAACTTCGGGTCACTCTTGTCTCCTTGCCATCGAGTTACGCTCCTCACCCATTTTTCTTTCCTCTTTTTTTGTTTTTTTTGTCTTTTTTTGAGGCACTGAGTAGTCACAGCATAGTGGGCATGCTGTCAGAGTAACAGCGTCTGGCACCCGTGCTTAATCACCGACATGACAACAGAGACCCGGTGTGGGAGGGGCCACGACAAGGCCGTCATGGAGGGGGGGTACTTGATGTGTCAGCCCTACCTTTGCCGGCACACACGCCCTGGCGACCCCCCCAGGCTCTGATCTGGAGCGTCTGGCTGCCTCCCTTGGCCTGCACTTCATCTCGCCACCGCCATCGTCACCAGCTCTCCTACCGCCCGCGTCTCTCCGTACCCCAGTATCAGTGCACACTCTCTCTTTCTTTCCGTTTTGTTTTTTTAATCCCTCACCACGACTGTCCTGTGTCCCCAGCACATTAGCATAGCGGCATGAATCATACGGGAGAGGCTGAGTCTCTCTGTCTTCTGAGAGAGGATTCAAAGCCTTGGGCTTGGCGTTCGTCTCTCCGTCTGCCG